GACTGGAAAATATGATGGTGGTGAAATAACCTCAACCATTCAGTTTGCAGGGCATGAAAGCTTGCTTGCATACAGCTACTTACAATATAGAGGGAGGTAACAAATCAATGGTACTGAAGTTACTCTCTGATACATCTTTTCTCTTTACTCACGACTATAAACTTGAATATATTTCACTTGCCAAGGAGCGAGCCTACAACAAGCTAAGTTGGTCAGTTATGTGTAAAACGAATTCACTCGTGACTTCACAAAAGCAATAATGAAAAATATTTAGAAAAGCTAAAAATATTTTACGCATCAACGCATTGTGTCTTGACTTCTACATTGTATAAATCCGTATAGTCTTCTACATTTCTGTTCTTTAGAATCCTCTCTATCCATGCAGTCACCTGGCCATTCGTTATCATAATACTTTATTGTCCTCATTAACACATACGTCACATGTACTTCAATGAAAAACAGTCGGTCCAAATGGTCATTACTTAAGTTTTTGTCACAAAACACTCAAAGTAACTGATGAAGAGCATTTTATATCCTTTTTTCTTCCCTTTCTCTTTCGTTTCCTCTGTCAACACCGTAGTGATACACTGCCAAAAACACATTTGGAACATATTACTTCGTTCTAAGCCTTATTTAATACATCCATTGTTTAGGAAGACTGAGATAATCATGAATGACTCTGTCCTGTTTACTTACTGAAAAATGTCCAATTCGTACTGTAGTAATCACTTATGGGTCAGTACCGAATTCATGAAAAACTCCATGAGCACAAACGCTTTGACTGTATTTAGAATTCAAATCAGGTGTGGAATATGTAAAAGGGGATCATTATTTTGTATAACCACCACAAACATGGACTGTAATGCAGGAATCAAGATCCGTTCAATTACCTACACATGTCATCCGCAAGTCCATCATATTATCTATCTGGCTGTAGGCAGGGTAGAAACCCTGTATTCTCCATAGAATGTGCTCATAAGTATTAGAATTAGCAATGAAAATTAGGACAACCTCACCTGGCTCTTAGAATTTCATTTGACCAACATATCATTTATGTGTACATAGATGGTTAGTATCTAGAATTCGAACAACAGGTTTTTCGAAATTCGTTAACACAACCCTAGAGTATGGTCGATGATTCTCAAAATAACAACTATCACCCAGAACGAGCAATTATTTCTTTTAGTAATGTTCACGGATTTTTTTCCGTTATTTACTGTTTGGAATTTCTGTACTACTAGTCAATGAAAAAGATACTGGATATTTCCATAGAAGAGTCAACTAATAGAACACGCTAACTCAATACTTGACTGAAACTCCATCTGTCAAAACATTAGAGGGAAAGTTGGATCGACTGAAAAGGAAAGATTGCTAAGAATAACACACGCTACCAGTCTCCTTTCCTTTCCAAAGTGAAAATGACTGCCAGATGTGAAGAACCCAACTCCATTACTTAGTTGTCCTAATTCAATTGGTGCTCAAGGTCACATGGACTGGCGTTTAATTAACGATAAGACTCGTTTTCGTGATACCATCAGAAACAATCCATCGAAAAATTGCAAAACAGCCGATAAATGTAAGCAAAAGTTCAGTAGATGCTTATTTTGTGGCAAACTGCAGTATTGTAATTCATATATATGACCTATTCACACTCATACTAGAGTCATACCGACTTCCAGTGAAATGGAGATAACAAATGTTACTCCATGGACTCTGAGAATCGAATCAAAAATAGATTCTAGAGGAAGAATTATATTTGATACGGGCCTCGTGATATCGAAATAATATCGAGGCAACATGGCGTACAAACAACTAACGTTCTTACCTCTTTCTGATGTTGATTAATGACTCGTTGGAGAAAATTAGCTCAGCTGCACTATTTTATGCAGATTGCATAACACGGGACTTTACAACCATCACTATAAGTCAAGTAGCCCATCAGATGAAATGTAATTTTACTATCTAATGATAACATTTTCATTCGTAAATATTTAAACCAGAAACTAGTTATTATTTCAAAAGTCTAAATTTTCACGAACTGTTTAACGTTCATTCCATTTGATTTCATTGAAAATATGTACCTGTAACGGAGATCCATTACCATAAATATGAATAAGAATAAAGTCTACAGTCTACATAGACTAAAATTTCTTGTGACATATGATAAAAACAAATAGAAAATATTAAAAAGGGAGAAAAAGACAATCATTGTAAATATAATACTTCAATAGAAATATAACAAAAGGCAAAACAAGATATAACAAGAATATGCCTAACAAATTTATTTGCAAAGTAAGAAAGCTTATGTATGGCGAAAGATTATAAAGCTCCCATAGATGGAGACTTCACTCAGTTCAGTAAGGACTTCAGTAAAGTCTCACAACCAGAATGTTATAAAAGTCGACTAACATCATAATCTGGGGCAATTTATATTCACAGATATTTCTTAGATGTGTACAAAGAGTATTTCAGCCTGTTTTACTATAAAACGATACTTAGTGGAGCATTACAGGTTGTAGCCATGGGACTATGACTATTTATTTTATAGGCAAATGGGCTTTTCAGTTTTCTGTTATCTTGTACCTTTGAATATGTCTACGACATTTATACAGAGCAACACAAAACGAAGAGGAGGGAACAAAGTTGAGGAAATAGTTTATAAACTAGAAGAATTGTTTAATATTGTACAAGGGGTAAGTAATATCTACAAGTGCATTATGGTTCATAGCGATCACCAAAGGCAGAATCATTTTACGGATGACGTCGGAGTACGTTCCGTATTGACTCAGTAGTTCCCTGCAACGGTTGCTGAACATTTTTTAAATATCTTTTCAATACATACAACCTACATGTACCTAAATTCAAACATCTTCATGGCATAAAATATGGTAATAGTTCACTCAAAACTCGATTATCGTATACAGGCCTCAAGCATTTGTAGAAAAAGGGACATAAAACTGTGAAAAATGGTTGAATGAGTAGAAAATTACTCGGTCCCAAGAACTTTTGTTGTTGAATTAGAAACAACGCTGACCAGTAATGAACTCCAGTTTACTATTTTACATTCATACTCTGAGATTAGTGAGGTAAATAAAACAAACCTTTGGGCAACCACAGGCCCCAAATGCTCGTACCGGGTAATGATCGTTTGCAAAAAAATACTGTAAATAAATAAATAATATTAGTACTTCTGTCTGGTGGGCTCCTATCTTCTTTGTTTCAACCACAATAATAACATGTACTGGGTAATCTTTATCCAAAATGAACAACTCAACCAAAACAGATGAATCAATGCCATGAAAATAAACTTCAATATGGACGAACAAACTCAATAGTTGCAATACTTCAAATCATATATATACGAGGATTAGAAGTGACTGAATCACTGTTTTCAAATTAATCAACTGTTTTTTATCTTGATAATCATCGCTTTGTTGTCTTTCAGAACAGCTGATTGATATGACATTCTATAAAACGTTAACAAAGTCAAAAAATCGATGAATTTCCAAATGATTACTGACTTTCCTAATAGAAATACTAATCTTTTGATCATGCTGCTATAATTCAGGTAGCTAATTCAATTGGGAAATAAATACAATCAAAACAAAACAAGATAGAAATTGAAAACTTGAATAAAAACAAAATAAATAAAATATATTGTTTATAAAGTAATTGAGAGCAATGTTCATCACATGTAATTGACTGAAATGAATATAACAGTTTCTTTCTCTTCTAATAATTCATCATCAAATTTAACTCTTTAATAAGAATAAAATTAGTTTTTGATTATTTTTTGAGCATTCACACATGAAAGTGTTTCTATGGATCTTTCTAACTGATACAAAGCTGTTCACAGTTTTGGACTTAAAAGTTGTATTCTTGATTCTTGTTAGATCAAACTTGTATTGTATTTATAAGAAAAAAGGCAATCAGTATACACAAGTACAAAGTGAAAAAAAAGTTATACTCGTTAATTGATATACGGGAAACCTTACTCGGTTACGAGAGCTAAGACAAATGATGCGGTGACACGATAGGATACTCTAATCCACTTCCTGTGCCCGGCTAATTATATCAAGAAGTCTTGATATGGCCTATGAAGTGTGTTCTACAAGCACCCAGAAAATACGGGGTCCATAAGCATACAAATCAAGATTATTTATACGTGATAGAAAAGTCCTTGGAAGAGCCACAAAATAGCGTACTAAAATAACACATCAACCAATGAAAGTCAAGGATTTTCGTGGCGGGAAATACAAGCTGAAGGTCAACCGAGCAGCTTATGCGCGAAAACACAAAAATCCCAAAATTAAGACTTTTTACAAGTGAGTTCTGGGGATCTAATGTCCCCAACAAAGATATATAGATATATGTATACATTTCAGTGCATGGTTTCATTTCACATGGAATTAATTCTGTTCTCAAACATATAGAAATAGATTGACTTATCTTTTTGAATCTCTCAATTCGCACACGAATATTCTTTGATTATTTGTTTATTTTTTAGTAAATAATCATGAATAATAATAATAATTTGGTCTTATTCTTGATTATGCAAACTGTGCTTTAATCATCCTCCTTAGTAAAATTCTTTTTAATTTTCATCATCATTCTTAAAAATTTGATTGAAATTATCATACATTTCTAGCAAATCAGATGATACTACTTATTTCATCACTGGTTTTTTTTCACATTGACAAATTATTTCTATGAAAATGATATTAGTGAGGATTAAATTGTCATCAACATGAATCACAAATAAAGTAAACAATTATGACCAATCGGATTCAAGTATTTTTTTTCTCCTCATAGAATGAATACACTCAGATGAAATGTTTATCTCATAAAATGATTGGTCAATGAACTCAATCGTACAATCGCACTTCTATATATTAATCAACAAAAATTGTTACTGTCATTTTAAATAAAAATCTCAGCTTTGAAAAGTTTGCTTATTTTGTGGATTCGACTTCTTGTTGGAGTTGATTATTTTTTAAATCATGAATTCATTTATGATATCATCAATTATGAATTTAAACACAACATACACTAATACAGTTAATGCATACAATACAAATCATAATTGGGAAACAACATTGAATTTACCTAATTCCACATTAATTGATCAAAAAGTAACTGACACTACCTTCAGAGATAATTTTGAACAAACTTCTAATGAGTTAAGTCAAAATTCAATATTATCAAATTTATCAATTATGAATTTAAATCAGAATATTGATTTGTTGTCTAATCAAATAAAAAAACATAATGAATTTATTTCATGTTATCAAAATTATTTACATTTATTTTTAAATCAATCTAATCAAAATAATTCAACATTGAATCAATTGACAACTGAACATTATTTGCCTTATGAGAAGAATATTTATTCAGTACAAAAAACAGATAACATTAAGGTTACTACTAATCAAGAATGTTCGAGTGCAGGTAAGTGAAAAATGAATGATATGAATTAAAAAACAACCAGTTTGATTATTGCTTTGAAAATGATCAAGATTTTATTAATTTTTTACAAGTAGTATTGTTGTGAACTAGAACACAGGTGGGGCAACCGAATTGTATTTAACGAAAATTACAGAGTTACACAGAAAAATTGGAAAACCATATCGTAAATCGTTAATTTGCAAAATATCAGTCCATCATATCGAACTGGACTGTTCCTGTTGCCAAACATCAATCTATTGTCACTATTCATGCGTTTCATACAAATTCCATTGTTTTCTAACTCTTCCTTTCTTGATCTTCCCCCATCTTCTGCTGCCAAACATTACGTTGACGCTCACGTGATATACTACTTATAAGTAGCTCGCACCACAGTATGATTTGAGATTGACTTAACTCTAGTGAATAAACCGACTGATCATAGATTCAAATTCAACTCTTTATGTGTACGAATACATTCCAGGGATTGAACATAAAATCATTTTAGTTCTCACTGTAAGTGGTCTATCCCGAGATCACTGAGTAAGAATCTAGTAATTCATCGTTTTAAACTTCCAATCGACTTCGAATAGTCTATAGCCATCAATGTGGTTGTCTAGAAATCTTTACATAGTTGTGTTAGTGAGACATAGATGGATTAAAGCATGACTGCGTTAGCTGCACACTGATTGGCTAGTCAATCACGTGGATTACATTCCAGAAGTTTTTCATGTAAAAACTACAGAGATACTAACGTTGTATCTATTTCGCCTTCACCTTTGGCTTCTTACTTCTATTAGACCTCGCTATTTGGAATATAATCGTTTTCCTGTTCCACCGTGTTCTCATTTGGGGACTTGTCTCCATGTTCCCATGTACTGAATAAAATTGTGGTGTCAACACCGAGTGGTTCTCATTCAAATGATCTCCTAAACTAGTACTAAGTTTCATCTTTGTATTCCAATACTACGTAATAATTATGAGTAGTATGAGTAATCAGTAAACATTTTGTAATCCGATTACATTATGGAATCAGTGAATTTATGATTGTGATAGATGAGAGTAGTTAAGTGTGAAAGCTGTTCAAGTAATCGTCTTCCTGACAGTGGAAATCTTAGTGAGCTGAAAGGTGACAGAATTGGAACAAGTGTACATGATTAGTCAGTGGAAGTTGGACAGATGGGTAGTAATTAAGAAAACCTCACAAACTATCATTCTGTGTGTCGCCCAACATTGAAGCTGACCTCGTTATTTCAACTTGACACACGATCTCGGGAAGTGCTCTGTCAACCATTTGCATCAGATCACCGTTTGATACACCGTTCAACATGTCTCATAACATCAAATGGCAAGCTTAGTTCACTCACTGCACGACATCCTAACCATCATTCAAATGTAGCTACGATTCTTTTGTTAACTGACTCTCGGTTTGACTCGGCCTGGGGTATTCTCGATTCAAAATGTGTTGCGGACAAAAGAGTTGCCCAACTCTGAATATCCGTGACATCATTGAAGTGAATAACGATAAAACTGATTTGTGTTGACGTGGATCGAATAATGAATTGGGTGAGTGGACTTTTTGAAAGTTATCTGCAATGAACGAGTGAAGTAGGACTATGTGGTCATAGTGTCAAGAATACAGATGATGAGATTTGAGTTAGTTTCTTACTGAATACACCCATTCTATCTGATCATCGCTACCTGGTTAATCCATTTACAGTTTCTCAGTTGATCATTCTTTAGAGTTAATACGTTCAACTCTGATAGGGAATTGTTTAGTCCCTTGTGTACAGAGAGCAAATGAATGAAGTGGAGACTCATAGATTGTAAATTTATTCTTGCATTTTTTTGATTACCTGTAGAGTCGCAGCATGAAATCGCTAAAATGTTGTTGTGCACGAATCATCTACTAAACAAATACCCGAAATTTTTTAGCGTGTTCGGCACCCTAATTTACGGTGATCGACACGGTAGCACGTCAGTACGTGCACCATTATGCCACACCGACGTTAGGTGGTGTAAAAATATTTGCAAATGTTCACTTTTCAATCGGAACAGTAATAGCATAAACACAAAATGCTTCTGCTGTATTTTGTGTACACTTCGACACCATTAACACACAAACCCACATATATATATATATATACATAAAATGTCATTCGATGAAGTTTCGCAACTCACTGTCTGATTCTGCACTCTACTAGCCTTCCACTGATCAACAGTTAAAATTTTCTAATTACTTATTTACATTCTTGCGACTGTTACCCCCAATGGAGTGTAGGCCGACCACCAGTCTTCTCCAACCAACTCTGTCCTAGGCTATCCATTCTGGTACTTTTCAGTTTTTGTTCATTCCTCTCATGTCTTTCTCTATTTCTCGGCATACTGTGTTCCTTGGTCTTCCTCTTTTCCTTTTGCCTTGAGGGTTCCATGTGAGAGCTTGTCTTGTGACGCAGTTAGGTGCTTTTCGTAGTGTGTGTCCTATCCACTTCCACCGCTTCTTCTTGATTTCCTCCTTCACTGGAATCTGGTTTGTTCTCTCCCAAAGTAATTTGTTGCTGATTGTGTCTGGCCAACTAATCCGAAGTGTCTTGCGTAGACAATTGTTAATAAACACTTGTGTCTTCTGGATGATGGCTTTTGTAGTTCTCCAGGTTTCCGCTCCATACAGTAGAACTGTCTTGAAATTTGTATTGAAAATCCTGATTTTGGTTTCGGTTGAAAGTTGTTTGGAGTTCCAGATATCTTTCAACTGTAGAAATGCAGCCCTCGCTTTGCCGATCCGCGCCCTCACATCTGCATCCGATCCACCTTTCTCGTCGATGATGCTGCACAGATATGTAAAGTTGTTAACGTCCTCGAAAGCATCTCCATCAAGAGTGATTTTGTTTTATGGCCGATATATATTTAACAATTAATCGTCAACAATTATCTAGTACTAATATTAAAATGACTCTAATTTTCAACTTATCAGTTACATGTTTCTAGAAAATATTTATGATTACATCGTCAAAATATTTATTTTCACTTCTTGGTAGTAAAGAGATGATAGTCATTTTTTTAATGTCAACTTTTATTCATTTTTATAAATTTTGTCATAGTTAAAAACGAAAGGTGTCAGTTATTTTACTTACTTCAATAAGTTTGTTTATAGCACACACATACAAGTACACAGTCGGACTGTAGCTATTCAAATCACTACATTTTATAAAAAAAAATCTTTTTCAATAATGCAAATGTTATGCTTATTCTGGTTCTGAAGATTGTCAAGTTACACATTTATTGAAACCATGAGTCGATCAATTTTAGACCACACCATTAGAAACCTGGAAGCAGTGGACGGCCGTTTCGTCCTGGTGCACGACTCATCAGTGGCAGTGCGCATTCACAACTCCTGCACCCCGCAGGATTCGAAACCAGGACCTTCGGTATTTTGCGAGAACTCCTAACCATCGGATCACTGAGCCAGATGCGCACTGCTGAGGAGTCCTGCACCAGGACGAAACGGCCGTCCAGTGCTTCCAGGTTTCTAATTGTGTGGTCTAACATCGATCGATTCATGGTTTCAAAAAATGTATTCTGGTCCTGTCCATCAGAAATTCAATAAATGAATTTGAAAAAAAAATTTACTTTTTCACCTTCCTTTTTTTTTACCCAACAGGTAGACAAAGAGATTGAGATTTCTAGGTATTTTGCATTGCAATACTATGTAAGCTTTGCATAAAATCACATGACTAGTAGACATACTTAAGATACATAATTATATGATCTTAACAAATTTAAAACAAGAAGGTTTATTGCAATATTTGTACAATTAGCAAAATATGTAATGCAAATGTTTGACTTAACCACTGTATAATATAATTTACAAAATCATATGGATTGATTTTATTTTCAATTTTTAGATCTAAATAGATTTCAGCAAACTTTTGAACGTACACAATGTAATCACCCATCTTCTGACTTATTATTCATCAATCAATGTCAACATGATAATGATATTGAATATTCAAGTGATAAAGAAAATTGTTTAAATGAGCTTTCTGAATGTAATCAAATAAAAATGGATGGTCATTTAAAACAATTCGATCATAATAATGATAACAATAATAATAATAATAATAATAATAATTGTTCTAGAAATCGTACAGCTTTTACAGATTATCAATTAATTTGTTTAGAACGTGAATTTACACATTTTCAATATTTATCACGTATTGATCGAATACATTTAGCGAAAAATTTAAATTTAACTGAGAAACAAGTGAAAATATGGTTTCAAAATCGTCGAGTACGTTGGAGAAAAAGAAATTCATTTTAAATTTAAGAAGAAGAAGAAAAAAAATTCACTCGAACACTATTCTTTTTTTATCATTCCTTTTTATGATTTTCTATCTTTTCTTATTTTTTTCAATTGTTAATATAATGAGGAACAATATTGAATATTGAAGGAAATTTTTATAAGAATTTGAAATTTTCTCCTAAGGTTTATTATTGTTTATTTTTTATAATTAAAAAAAATGAAAGTTCTATTCTTTCTAGAAATAAATGTTTAAAAATATAACTCGATATTCTTTCTTTTTCTAAGAAAAACTAATTCGATGCAGCGTATTTCGAAATTCAATTTAGTCAATATAAGATACTTCTTAAAATTTGATCAAACCAATGATACAATAAAGGGATGACTAAGAGTATGGAAGAAGCTTTATACCAAAGACTAAATGAATATGTTGGAATATATTAGATTGAAGTGATTTGTAAGCATATATCTAGCTAACGATTTTGAGTAGGCTACATAAAACATGTTTGTATTTTATACTTCCTTTTGGCTTTGAGATAGCATTTGATCTGTTTGGAATTGTCCACTGTGTCATTCGTTCATCAATAATATTGACAAACTCATTAGGATATTAATCAAATATCCTGAGAGAGAATTATTTTTTAAGGTCTGATTCTAATGGTTAATGCTTACTGATCAATATTATGATCGTCCTAGTTATGAATGTCACAGACTTCAATGTTGTGTCCTATTGGACCTAACTGTATAAATATGCATTATCTGTAACGTTTTATGACCCGGTCCCGGATTCCTAGTCTGGGATCCTGATTCTCTTCTGGACTCTGACCTCATACTTTCTGGATGCCTTTAGAATACATGTTCTACTTCATATCAAGTTTTGTCTTCTTATTTTCACTCAATATGGTGGTTGGGACACTCGGATTAGAATACCGTGTCGTGTCTCCGTATTCTTGGTCCTCGCTCCCGTTTTCAGACTAAGGTAAACTCGTTATAGTTCAAGCATATCAATTTGACGTGTTTACGTGCATTCGTAACAATAATTTACTTGAAATGATTTGTACTTTTAAGGAAAACTGCAAAGGCACACACAAAATTACCTTATTATGATATATGCATTAATTAAGAACTGAATCCTCTTTCAACTGATTTAAGTTTACACATAAGAAAATCATACTACTGATTAAAGGTTGAATAAAAAGAGAAGGCATCGATACCATTAAACGAGTGTATACACAAACAAACTGAAAGCTATATAAAGCTATCAAAAAAAAATTCCATCTTTATATATTATTGGTTAGTGAGAAATTCATTGTTACTGATATGAATAAGTTTCTGAACTAACTGTACTTTGATTTAAAGCAATAACAAAATTATTTACCACCATTTTTTGTAAAAAAATATATCAGTATTTATAAGAATATTCATAAATAGTTGAGCGAATAGTTTGTTAAAAAGTTTTAGTGAGCTAAGTGAGCTAAGTATTTCAAGGTTATTTAGGGAATCACTTAGTCTCGGGAATATATCACACTACGAACAATATACCTTGTACATAAATGGATATAATAACTTCTATATTGTCTAGAAAGTTTGGGTTCTAAATTCAAATTTCAATGTACACCACAATATTCATGTGAGTTCATGTACACTCAAGAGGTAAACAAAACATAGTTCACTTTATTTCTAGTTCTTACCTTTTTCTTCATCAATTCAATTAATGATTAGTACAACTTGAGTAAAATCATTCAATGATTTTAAATTTTAAATACGTTTCTAAGATGAATATCTTGCCACATATGTCAGCTTAGAGGGAAGTTAATTTTTGCTATCAAAGTAGCACTACGAGGGAGTGGGAATCGGTCTTTGTCATCTAAGATAAAATTAAACTACAAATTAACTATTCTGCATAAAATCTATATCGTCATGATTGTGGTCGTGTTTCGCTCTCTGAGTTGGATGTTTTGGTTGTTGAGAAGAACAAGCTACAGGTCAAAAGTGGAGAAATTCGAATACTTCACTTCTATCTGAATCTAGTGCTGATGATGGTGTTCAGCAGAAGAACAATGAAAGCTTCACAACCAAAACATCCAGCTCAGAGAACCAAACCACACCACAATCATCCACCTGAGCTACAAATTTTTTCCACAAAATCTATATCGTAATGATAACCAAATAATGATTAGTTAGAAGCTACGAGATTGATCTATGAAGTTATATTGAATAACTGTGATTAGTGGAATTCAATCATGTCAAAAACCAAAATCAGGATTTTCAATACAAATATTAAGACAGTTCTACTGTATGGAGCAGAAACTTGGAGAACTACCAAAACCATCATCCAGAAGATTCAAGTATTTATGAACAGTTGTCTATGCAAAATACTTCGGATTCGTTGGCCAGACACCATCAGCAACTACGTACTGTAGGAGAGAACAAACCAGATTGCAGTGGAGGAGGAAATCAGAAAGAAGCAGTGGAAATGGATAGGACACACATTGCGAAAATCACCCAACTGCTTCAAATTACTTTTTTATTATTCAATAACTTTTTAGCAGATATCAATGTGTGAAATGAATGCATCTCGCGGAAAAAAATCTGTTCTATTCAATTTCTTTATTTTCAATAATGAAAACAGAATATTATCACCATCTAATATCTAAAACAAAATCACCCTGTAGGCATTTGGATTTATTCTTTTTTTTTTGTATACAGTAAAAAATGCACAGCAACATATTTCTTCGTACGTAACTAAATTTTTTTTTTTTTAAGAGAATTTCAATAATATGACAATGGATTAAATCATATGTGAATAGTATTTGTATTGGTGTTAGTAATGATGGTTTGACGTGTGTAAATGATCATTTGTACTACAAAACAAACAAACAAACTCTAAATAAAAGCCAGAATAAAACAATCAAGTTTTCATTGTTACTTTCCATTGTAAATAAGTTCGTCTCTCAATCCTATCCACCTACCCCCCCTTGCTTAAACCACTACCATCAACGACAAGATCAAGTAAGTAAATTGTCTTTTGTTCAATGATCATCATCAAAGGAAAAAAATTTAACACATGAAGAAAATTTTAAGTGAAATTAAGAGGAAATCAACAAAATATGCTTACCACCTTTCATTAATCTAATGAAAATTTGAAAGTAAATAAAGAATTATTGAATCGCTTGAAATAATAAGTACAAAGGGAACTCACTCGAAAAAAAAATTTTTTTTTCATATAAACGGAAAGCCAAAAGAATAGAAGAATTTGAAATAAAGAATTGAGCAAACGTCGTAATTGGATGAATAAACTAGTGCGTGGGTGGATCACAATGACAGACGGTGTGTGTCTGTCTATAGAACTAAATACGCATCATCTGATTGGTTAACAGACAAATGAAATAAAATTTCAATAGTTCACAAAAGATCAGCTGTTAAAATGTGTAAATAATTCAGTGTTTATGAATTTATTTTTTATTGAAAAATATTTCAATTGAAATAAAATGAAAAAAAATATCAAATCATTACTGAATAGTAATTTTTTTTGAATCAATAGATTTTATTTATCCTATAATCAATGTGATAAAATTTTTCTTTTTGCATTTAGTAACCAAGTCTTTGTAAATTTGACAAAAGAATGAATAAGATGAATAAATCTTAAATGAAAAAAAAACACTCATGATACTGATACATAAAAAAAAACAAAACATGAAATCAATGAATAAAATTATTAAACAAACATTTCTGTTATCATTACATTTTCCTATTTTGTTTCTATATTGAAACATATTTTGTGTATGGTTACTGTAAAGATTGAACAATAAAACGAGTTTATAGTTTGTCAGTACAAGAGAAAAGAGAAAAATTTTTTTATCGGTTTATAATACATGTAAAAATATATATATATATGCACTGAATTACTTGATGAAATTATGTTGAATTTATATTCGATAACAATAAGTAACTTTACAGCTTAATCGAAACAAGTGTTTAATTAATTCAGAGACTTTTTGGATAAGAATTTATAATTTCTTTGAACTGATCAACAAATTTTAGGTTGATAAATAAAAAAGACGCAAACTGAAATAATGAACTCAAAATAAGGTCCTAGTTGGAGGTGTCCAACAAGAAAGCTCTCTTGACCTAGGTTTCGTGCTGTCTGACACTCGTTAGTAAGAGGTACCTGTAATCTTAGGGTAACTAATACTACTTACTGGGTTCAGCATCACAATTAGAGACGCGATCGTTGAGTTTTCAGAGCAGTTACTGACTTCTTATAGGAATGAGATATATTTATAACTGATAAGTTGCCGAGTAGTGAGGATTAAATTCTATCATTCAAGTTGCAGTGTGATTCAATATGATGCAGAGTATGTTTAGAGTAAGGTGATAAATAAGAGTATACAACATCCGTCATTACCAAATAACTAATCAGTTCTAAACAACATTCAAATTGGTTGTATTAAAAATATAAAGTGACTAGAATATTTGTCAATAAAATTCAAAACAATAAACATTAAACATCTTTGAATGCTAGTTAAATTTATATAATATAATAATTGCACAATGAAATCAATCATTGTTAGACCACCATTAGAAACCCGAAAGCACTAGACAGCCACTTCATCCTATTATGAGACTCATCAGCAGTGTCCATTCATGACTTCCACTACTTGCAGAAATCGAACTTGCTTATGAACGCTTAACCTCTGGATCACTGAGCTGGCATACAGCATTGTCATTGTTTAACTTCGATCAATTCAATGTCTTGCGTAACCTCATCCACTGTCTTCGATGAGCACTGTTTCAGACCCGAACAGGGTTGAACTTCACTAGTCATGACTTCTCATTAGAACTTGGAGAAATTTCCTCATACAGCTAGTCACTATTGATTACATGATAATTTCCATTATCAGATTGTAGAGATTGTTGTGTTGCTTTGAAATCAAGCATTGATCAATGTTAATTAACTAGAATATTGTGTAGTGATTTGGATTCTTATTCTTATTCGAATCGAATCGAATCAATTTGAT